TGAGGTGTTTGTAACCCGAGGTACCGCTGTATTAGCCCACTTTTTTCTCCAAGGAGCTCAGTGTGGCATGGATGGTTCTTCCTCTCCTCATTTAATCCCCACAACAACCCTGTGAGGGAGGTTAGATTAAGAGGCAGTGATTGACTTGCATGGTCACCCAGTGAACTTCAGGGCTGAGTGGGGATTTGAACCCTGGTCTCCCAAGACCTAGTTCAGCACTCTAACCACTATGCTACACTGGCTATATATCTGACGGTCGGTCTGTAACATATGCACAGTTATTCCACTGAATATTACTCAAGCAGGAAGAAGTGATGGGACACAGGTGGCGCTGTGGGTTAAAGCCTCAGCGCCTAGGACTTGCCGATCGAAAGGTCGGCGGTTCGAATCCCCGCGGCGGGGTGCGCTCCCGTTGTTCGGTCCCAGCGCCTGCCAACCTAGCAGTTCGAAAGCACCTTCGGGTGCAAGTAGATAAATAGGGACCGCTTACCAGCGGGAAGGTAAACGGCGTTCCGTGTGCTGCGCTGGCTCGCCAGATGCAGCTTGTCACACTGGCCACGTGACCCGGAAGTGTCTTCGGACAGCGCTGGCCCACGGCCTATAGAGTGAGATGGGCGCACAACCCTAGAGTCTGTGAAGACTGGCCCGTACGGGCAGGGGGACCTTTACCTTTACCTTAGGAAGAAGTGAGTGCTAAACGTGTACAAGTACTCGTGCTTCAGACTGCCAGTCACTGTCTCTGTTCCTTATTAACTCGTGGGTGGCTGATGTGTGAAAGGCAGAGTGTGTTTTCCAGAGCTCTTTTTAATTGGAGGTTTCACGTTAACAGCTCAAATGAAGATTAGCGGGGGATAGCTCATCTCAGAATAATGCATGCGAATTGAAAATCACCTTGACAAAACAGATGGAGCTCTCAGTCATTAGGGAGAGAGTGTTTGTGCTGTTTCAGTGACAGGCAAATTACTCACCATGACTTTAAAGATTAAGAGGACTAGTATTGGGTGAAAGCAGCCTTGATGCATTTGGGTATGAAAGTTGCTAAAATAATGCAAGGAATTGTACTTTTCCTACTGGTGCCTATCGTATTGCTTTCTTGAAGCTTAGGGAAGCTGTTGCCTTCCCTCTGTGCACACCCCACTTCCTCTCTTGAAGTAGGATAACATAGTGCAAAGGAATATAGGAATATATCCGATAGGATATAGGGTTATATCTGCTTGGAGCAGCCTATGTTTCCTCCTCATCTGTATTTTCCTGAGGATAGTGCAAGGGGACAGGGGTTTGGGGGGAGGTGTCCAGCAGTGGAGCAAGCCGGTCGGGCACCTGGGGCAGCGCTGTTAGTATTGTAATGTCTCATTCTCACATTGCATAATGTTGCGGGTTGCCTTTAATTACTTAATTGATGTATGAGTATGGGAACTATTTAAATGTCTCCCCTCTCTCTCTCTCTCTGCTCCTCTGCTGAAGAAGATGGATGTGAGAGTTATCTTGTTATCTTGTTGTTTTGTTATTTGCTTTATAAATAAAACCTTTGATGTTACCATTCAAACCACAGTTGCTTCTGCCGCATTCTGCTGTAAAGGACTGAGTTTACTATCTGCAAATGGGCGTTTAATGCTTACAGGCGCATGTGTGTCCTGTGCCCAGGGGCAGGGCCAGCCACCTGCAGAGTGGGGCAAACTGGGGCAGGATGCTCTGCAGGGCCTTGGAGGAGTCTGCCTGCCTCCTCCCACTTAGCCACCCTAAAGGTGAGGGGGGAGGTGGCTGGCAGACCGTTTGGGGCAGCGCGGAGCCTGCAGGTGACCAAGCTACTGTGTCACTCCCAGGAGAGATGCACGATGAGTGCCGCCTGGCATTTTGTCACCCCCCTCAGTGGTGACCCGCCCCCACCACACACCCCTTCCTCTGCCCCAGGGGTTGTCACGATTTGAGACCTGCCTTTGTTTGTAGTTGGTCGCAGTACTTTGAAGATGCTGTTGTAGCATTGCAGGTCCACTTGGAAGAGGATGAGCCAGCAGTGAATCTCCTCGAACAAACGATCTGCTGTTCCTTTCCAAAGGATGGGATTGAGAATGCTTTGAACTATGCTTTATATTGACAGGGCTACACTTTAGCTGCCTCAACCCTCTTCTGTACATGTTGTGCACATGTTTAAATTTAGGAAAGAGTTGTGCAACAAAGTCCCAAGACTAAGATTGCGGTCCACGAATCAGTGCAATTATTTGCTCTGGGTGGGGCAAAGTTGCTTCAGGAAGTTGCAGTGCCAAACTTGGATGGCATTCAAAGAGGATTAGGCACATTAGCGGATGCGGGTGGCGCTGTGGGTAAAAGCCTCAGCGCCTAGGGCTTGCCGATCGAAAGGTCAGTGGTTCGAATCCCTGTGGCGGGGTGCGCTCCCGTTGCTCGGTCCCAGCGCCTGCCAACCCAGCAGTTCGAAAGCACCCCTGGGTGCAAGTAGATAAATAGGGACCGCTTACTGGCGGGAAGGTAAACGGCGTTTCCGTGTGCTGCGCTGGCTCGCCAGATGCGGCTTTGTCACGCTGGCCACGTGACCCGGAAGTGTCTCCGGACAGCGCTGGCCCCTGGCCTCTTAAGTGAGATGGGCGCACAACCCTAGAGTCTGTCAAGACTGGCCCGTACAGGCAGGGGTACCTTTACCTTTTAGGCACATTCACGGAGATTAAGGCTATCAGTAGCTGCTAACCACAGTGCTCATCCTCTGCCTCTGCTGTTGGAGGCAATGTGCCTTTGAATGCCGTTGTGAAGAAAACTGTTGAGCTTGTCCTGCTTGTGTTCTTTCCACTGGAATCTGGCTGACCACTGAGAGAACAGGATGTTGGATTAGATGAGCCACTGGCCTGATCCAGCAGGATATTCTTCTTATGCTCTTATGGTGATTAGGGGCAAGGATCCTGGCTCCTGGCTCCTCTGCTAAGCATATCAATGTGTTTTTATGGGGAGACCATGAAAGGGTGCAACATGAACAATTATCTTTTCACATCATAGATTGCAGATTTTGGTGCCACAATAATCTTTATTACTTTTAGTTGTGACATCTACGGATTATGTAAGCTTGGGGGCAAAAGGTGTGCATGACCCTCTTGCCTACTACAACTGCTTAACACAAATATTACATGGAATAGTCAGAGGCATTTTTTGTAGTACACCATCTGTTCACCTAGGTCACTGGGCAGGCTTACTTGGTCTCAGTTTGACACCACTGCTAAGCCCTTAGGAACACTGAAAACACAAGGCACTTTGGTTTCAAGAGAATGGGGTGCACGTTCTGTTATGTACAATAGAATTTCACAGAAAACACAAGTTACACACAAAAAAAGGTAGTGTACCACTCCAAATCCTTTGCCCATCTAAGTGCACAGAAAATAGTAGATCAAGCTGAAATGCAACACCTAGAGAGCTGTACTGACCATTGCAATTAAAAGATTATTGCAAAATCTTAAAAAGTTGTATAATGTTGGGAGGAGTGTGGCTGTGAGCAGGCATGGCTGTGACCATCATAAAGGGATCCTGCACTTCTGAATTTGCCATTTCACTTCTCTTCTCAACTGAAGAATGTTGCTGAGAGTCCAGACTAACTCAGGACTCCCCAGAACACAGTTTGAAAGCCACAACTGCAGGCCTCAGTGACCCAACTTAACCATAATTTAGGGACTCTGGAAACAAACTCTCATAATTCCAAGAACAGTTTTGGAAACATTTGCAATTCAGATATGCCCTAGAATGGTTCTAGTATTTGTTTATGCCCAAAAGGTTTTTCAAGCATGGAAATGTCCCAATATGTGCCATTCTTATTTTCGTATAATAAATGCAAACTCAACCCTCAAACCCTGGAAGCTACTACTGCAAGTTTAATTTCCATTAAACACAGACAACAGACGATGAAATAACATTCTGATAACATCTATCCTGAACTATGCCCCCAAATGAATAGTGCATTCTTGTTTAATGTGGACAAACAAGAGCAATAAATGTAGATACTTTATTTTCTTATGAGTATAATATTGAGTGCAAAAAAGCTGTAAATTCCTCCTGCAGCTGGGTTGTCCCTTTTTATTGCTGTTTAAGACAAGCCTTGGGATTCCCACTCCTGAACTGCAAAATGTCACTGGTTGCTTCCATGGCCAGCATTAGAGGTGAGTGGGGTTAGGCAATAGCTGTGATTCTTGCATTGCAGGGAGTACGGCTAAATTACCCCTGGGAGTCATAGAATTTTACAGTTCTATGATTCTATTAACAGCTGGGTCTGGAAGACTTTTGAGCAGACCCACTTCTGATCCTCCTCCCTGTCTGTCCTCTTATATATTATATGTGTTGCCTATGAGTAGCAGGTTTTGCCCAGGTGCTCCTCTCTCTGACCTCCTCATGTTTAGAGGCTGGCTGTCCTAAGTAAAAGCACTTTGTTGTACTTTATCCATCCACCCACCCATAGCCAGGGACACAATGGAACCAGGATGGCGAGGGCCCAAGAGTTCATGAAGTTCTGGAGCGGACTATGGTTGCCTGTTCCTAAAAGGGTGCAATCAGCTTCCACTCCCAAATTGGCAATTCTCAGCAAGGTGAGAGTCCTGATCCTGTCCCTCTGCTAGGACAACAAAGAACAGATATGAACTTCCTATGCCTAGAGATGCATATGCAATATTTATTAGTTTTGTCTAAACTGGGGCTGGGGAATCTGATTCAGCCCAAGGGCTACAACATCACGTTTGAAAAATGTTTAACTAAAAGGAAAGTACAACCTTGCAACAAAACGGTATTTGTCTCAATGAAGGACAGGCTGTAAACTGTTTAAATAAATAAGCAAACTCAACCCTACAGCCACCAGAATTATAAAGAAAAAATAAAGCAGCATGAGAATGGAAACTTTTCTAACAGGGAAAGGAGTAATTGGGGAAATTGGAGGACAGGTTTTGGGTATGGCGCTAGGAGAGATTCAGAGTCTTAGTGAGTGTATGCTTCTCTTCTTCTGCCCTCCCAACCCACAGGTGGCCTTGGAATGGAAAGGCAGCTGAGATAATGACCCTAATCTCTGCTTTGGAGACGGAGCACATTTTCTTCTTTCCCTGGTCCCAAACTGGATTGATTTGAGGACGTCAATGATGAAGCTGACCTGCATGTTCTCCTTCATCCTGCTGTTTGGAGCAGCTGGGCTGGTTGTCTTCATCCACCTGCAGGATCCAGAAGAAATTGTTCATCAGCAAACACCAGGTTAGACTTTGGTTTTAACATATTATCTTCTCATGTTTCCCCCCCCCCCACCTGAATTGTTTGTTTGGACAAAATCATTCTCCTTGGTGAGAAATGTTCATGGTGACCAAGAGGTCTGTATTTGTCTGTTGGAAATGTTCATATTGTCAAGTGAAGGAAGATTTCTCTCTCCCCTCCCCCCCAGTTAAATATGCCTGCAGCGAGTTTTCATGGAGGGAGAAGGCGCATCAGAAAAGCACTGTCTGAAGTGCTTCCACCCTCTTTAAAAGGGATTGGGAATTGGAGTGAGCTGCGAAGGAAGGGGTGGGCAAGTGGTGAGGGGATTTGCAAGAAGGTGGGTGAGATGTCAAGGGAGGGGGTTGCTCAGGCATGGGGGAAAGTTGGTTGGCAGTGGGGTTGGTAGGTAGGCAGGGTTGGTGAATGGAACGAGCAGGGTCCGCAGCCCCTTGCTCAGTATAAAAATGAAAACAGAAAAATTCAACACAGCCTGGTTCTCACTTCAAACAGTATGATCTGCCACTTATGCACTACCAAAGCACACAATTGTTCTCCATCAAGTGATACCGGTTTAAAGGAGGCTGATGTGTATGAAGAGACCCAGTTATCCCCTTCTATTCCTCCTTCGTAGCTGAACAGATTTGCACCACTTCCAGATTGCACCTGAACAGCTGCCTCAAAACTAGATGCATCCTCGTTCTCCATGCATCCCACCTCCTCAAAAGTAGAGCAGAATTATACTCTGGAGGAGAGAGTCATTGCTCATTGTTAATGCATTCAGTCCAGTTTAATTTGGGATAGTGTAGCTTATAAAACAAGGTTAATAAAAGATGGTCTGCTTCCTTCACATTCTCTGTCTGCTCTAGAAAGTGTTCTTTATTGTTTTTAGCCCGAGCAACCACGATACAAAACCCTTGATGTACTACTTAAGCCAGAATAAAACGAGAGTCATAAAACTTTAAGTAATGCTTACATTACTTTCCGTCAGCAAAGTGCTCCTGACAGTAGCTGTTTGTGTTGATTTGTTACCATTCATTTATCCTTTCCCCGTGCTTCACACTGCAACCTAATTGTAATCCTGTACTGAGAAAGCAATATCAAAGTAATTTTCCACAACATTAGTTACAATTTTCTTCTGATCTTTCAAGTGAAACAATCCCATCCTGTTGGCTTCTCTGAGCATATAAACCTTGATTACATTTATCTGTTGGAAACGAAGGCTTACTATATAGATAGATAGATATTCCCCAGAATGGTGGTGGTTGTACTTAGAGCCTCAGCCCGCCCCCTTTTCTGGTAGTTGACAAACATCCTGATACTTAGACTTTGGTACCTGACATTCACTCTTAACAGGAATAGTTTTTGATGGACAGCACTTTGCAAAGAACAAAACAGATTTTGTAATGTCTGCCTTAACTGTGGAACGTATTTTGTTGGCTATGACAAGCGTAGTAGCTTCACCGAGAGCAGATACTTGTAGGGATGTTATTACAAAAGAATGGTGGAATGAAAATTTATAGGGCTGCTCTGAATGCTCTGCATTTCCAGTATTTGCTTCAGAAGCAATATATTGGAGGGAGCTAAAAAGGCTGCCACATCCCACTCCCACCTTTCCTTCTGAATATTTGTATCCTTCTGTCCTGCTTTTCTGGGCTTGCTCACATCTTACACTTACAGAGGTGCGAGCTGTTTCTACACACGTGCAAGTGTTTGTGTGAAAGGGTCTGTATTTGTTGATTTGTACAGCTCAGCCATTGCATGCAAAGACTGTGCAGCCATTGAGTGGAATGTTTGAGAACCCCAGCTGTCGTTTCCTGCCAGTGGCTGCTGTTCTTCCTTGGCCATCAAGGCTCTTGGCTTCTTTCTCCACCCCGATGCTGAATCAAAGGGGCTGTGGGCTTGTTCACAGGTGCCCACGATGTTATTAGTTTAGATCCAGTGCTGTGACATTATCAGCAAAATCTTGGGGAACGCCAACAGGATTAAGTGGCAAATGAGGTGAAGGACTATGAGGTGAGGAAGGAGGAAAATGGCTTCAAGGAGAAGTGCTGTACCAAACCTATGTACATGTCTTTGTAGTTGAGGACATGAGAGAGGAGCGGCGGGGGGTGGGAGGTGCTTTTCAACATGAAACGAGGTAAGACAGCCTTTCCAGTGCTTTCCTAGAAATTAGTTTTGACACTGGTATATATCAGATGGTAATGGAAGTGAAGGGAGTGAGAATGTAGCATCATTGTGACGGAGGGGGCATTCAGACGTGGGGAATATTGTGTCAGTTTTCCTGGTGATAATGCAAGCACTTTGCTGATGTTCCTTTCACACTGCAACACCTGTTGCATTATGGAATGGTGGGTCTTTTTGACCGATATACTGGCATGTTGCATGGGTGTAATGCAAAGCAACACCAAATGTCACTGTAGAACATTGCTACTCTCTTGCTCTTCCCACATAGGTCTGCTTCTGGTCCTCCATTGATTCTCCCATGAAAACAGTAGGAAAGAACTGCATGTGGCTTTACCACCCCACAATTTTCCAGATTAAGGAGGCTGCAAATGTATTTTTTTCTGGAATCAAATTGCACAGAAATGAATGCTCAATGTAAGCTAGATTCCATTAGTTTTCCGGAACTGTCTTTTACATCTTGTGAAAGCTCAAATACAATTTTGAAATTAGCCGTTTGGTAAACCTTAGGGAAATGGATTAAATTGTTATGTGAATGCAGCCAGATTTCTGTAAATTCTCCTACCTGCATTGGGAGTCCTTCAGTCCAATGCATAGCTATATTAAGTGTCTGTTCTTAAATTTAAAACTGGGGGTTTAAGCCTGTATCCTCAGTGGTGCCTTTCCTTAAAAAAAAAAGGAAACTTTCCTTCCCTTTTCCTTATTTCCTCCATACTTTATTTATTATATTTCCTTAGGTTCAAATCCCACTTTCTTCCATCATGGAACCCAAGGTGGTATGCTGGTGGTTCCCATGCAGTCCTCCATCTACATTACTGAGCAGACCCTGACCTGCTTAGCTTTAGCAGCATGGTGGTTTCATATGGCTTCAGAAGACCTGTAGGGACAATGTCATGCAGTGGTTAGTGTGTTGGAGACTCTAGCTCAGTGTCAAGCTTCAGGGAATTGGCTTCCTTCCCTGCTTTGGCAGAAGATAAGCAGAACGAAAGGAGCCTCTTACCAGTTAGAAACTTTAATGATCACAGCGAGAGAACAAAGAATTCATTTCTAGGAATGAAGCTGCTCCCAATTAAAGGTCCCACCCACTTTCTCCCTAGTCACCCACATCACTCCCGCTTCTTGTAACCTGATCTCGCAACCACTGTGCTTTCTGTGCTGCCACCTTATCTGCTCTTCGTGACCTTGGGCTGAGTGGATGGACACTTTCAAGCGGCAGATAGTCAGTTAACTCCCTCACATTTCTCCTCTTCTTAGCTGTTCCCCAACCAGTACCTCCCAGCTTCTGCCTTCTGAACTATGTCCCTCTGCAAACCACTGTTCCAAATCTATACTGTCCTCCTGTTCCTGGGAAGATTCAGGATCCTGATCAGGAACAGGGGGAGGGGGGGGAGGCTCCCACCATTCCTTCTCACTGCGGTCCTCCTCAGCGCAGTCCCTGACACTCAGATTGACATTCAGCCATGACTCACTGGGTGGCCTTGAGCCACTGTTGCTAACTCTCAGCCTAACCTACCTCACAATATTGTTGTGAAAGTTTAAAACAAGGGAAAGGGGGAATATATCTATACCAACTCAAGCTTCTTGGAAGAAAGGTGGGATATCAATGTACAAAGTAATAAAAAGAAAATGCTTCATGGACTTCATTCATTATTGACTGCCTTCAGTATAATGCACCTCCACCTTTCGTTACTACTCAGGTATTCCATGCATTTGGGGATCAGGCTCAGTGCCTATGCCTATGCCTATATGTATACGTATGCCAAATTTGCATGCAGCAAATTAGACATTGGCTAAGTGGTTGGAAATGTCTAAAAAGTTGTCTAAGGCTGGACAGTTTTTAAAAAAAACCTCTTTTCTAAGGAGCAATGAAAGGGCAATTAAGCAAAGTCAGGGTGGGGAGGCAATGAAGTGACAAAGAGGTCTCTGGGGTGGAGAGAGATCAATAGGTGAATGTGCAGGCAGATTTCCCTCTAAGGTTGAGGGAGAGAGGCAGAAGAATAAGAGGAGTCAGGAGCAAACATTTGTCCATGCAACCTACTTGCAGAGCTAAGGAATGCTGCATTCAGGGTAATACCTGTTTTCTAAGGCAAATAGTCTAAAGTTGGGGGGAGAAATTTACCAAACAAATTTGACCTTCCTGTAATGTTTCACAAACTGAAACACAGTGAATCTTCAAAATTTGCCCTTCTCCAAATGTTGTGATTCAGTTCCAAACAATGTATAGAGAAATGTGTTTGTGTACATGTGCACCCACACCCACCACCCACTCACACACAATTCTGGGAATATTATATATTACTGGGAGTAACATTCAAAAATGCATCATATCATCAGAGGAGAATCCTTGCAAAAAATGGGCATATTGGGTAACATTGTCTACAATGCAATAATCTGCATATTAGCAGAAATGTGGGGGTAAAATGCTGGCAGATTTTTTAACGACTTCTTTTTTAAAAACAAAAATTGTGAACTGATGAGGCATGCAGTGCAAGTAGATAAATAGGTACCGCTCCGGTGGGAAGGTAAACTGTGTTTCTGTGCCCTGCTCTGGCTTCACCAGAAGGGGACTTAGTCATGCTGGCCACATGACCCGGAAAAACTGTCTGCGGAAGTGCGAGATGTGTGCCGCAACCCCATAGTCATTCGCGACTGGACTTAACTGTCAGGGGTCCCTTTACCTTTACCTTTACCTTTACTTTTAAACATAGATTGTGGAGTGGAATGAGAATGCCTTTCGCATCCCATTAGTGTGGGAGTGGGATTTTCCACATCTGTGTTCCTCCAAGAAAAATACGTACTTAGTTTGACATGGTCTTGGGGCC